AAACGTTATTATTTTTTTTTTNTTTTTTTTTTAATTTTTTTTTATTCGTTTATCTAAGAGATGTACAAAGAAAAAGGAAAACAGTGTGGCAAGCCCCTCTTAATACAAATATACTAATACACAGAATACATATTTGTACATATTTGACATTTTACGAAGAATGTTTGTCTCGAAAATCATGAAAATAATACATTACTGAAATAAGGTTTCTTATTCAATGCTGTACTCTTATAGATGTCATATTTTGCAGAGAGTAAACAGTGGTTCAGGTATCTATTTTTTTCCATCTTTTCAATTATACCATACAATATAACAATTTTTGTTAGTGCGATATGTTCAGAAAAAGTGTCGAGCCACCATAGGCGAAAGTCATCCCAAAATTTAGTAACATAACAACAATCCACAAATAAGTGACTTAGATCTTGTTTACTATCGCAAAAAGGACATTTGTCCGAGTCTTTAACTCTAATTTTCTTTAAATAACAATTTGTCGGCAAAAATCTGTGTATTATCTTATACTGAAAATACTGCAATTTAACATTCTTAGTACATATGAAAGGTAGTAAATACACATTTTTTAAGTTGTTTTCATGTTCAAAAGTTTTTAACAATTCGTCTTGGCCCGTTGGGGGTTCAAATGTTTGTTTTAAATACATGTCATACAACTGCTTACAAGAAAAAGTATGTGAAGCGATGGTTTCTTCCACCGAGTTATCAAGCTGATCCTTCTTTACTGTATCTTTCCAAATATTAGGAATAGCTGATTTCAGGCTAGAATATCTAAGCATATCCAAAGGTGTAAAAGTTATTTCATATTTCTGAGCCAGCTCACCTAATGTCAGGAAGTTACCATCACTTGACATAACATCACATATTTTCAAAATACCAGCTTGGCACCACCGGCTGTGCAATACAGATTTCCCGCCTACTAATATATATCTATTGTTCCAAATAATTTGTTTACTTATGTCGTCTTTAGATTTGGGAACTGATTGCACAATCGACTGCCACGCCTGCAATACTTGACAGTAGAACATCGGTAAATTAGACAGTTCTAAACATGATGTATCAAAGTTACATTTAAATAATAGTTCCCCACCCCACTTACTAAACATATATGCACAACTTTCACTTTTCTCAAGTTTCTTAATCCATGTCGCCTTAAGGGCTTTACATTTAATAGAAAAATCCACCATGGTTAGACCACCTTGGTCTTTCTTCCCTATCACCGTCTTCATTTTCACCTTTGGCTTTTTTTCATCCCAAATAAATTTAAAAATATACCCATTTACTTTCTCTGGAAAGCCAACGGGAACCGGCAAAACCGTACAATTATAAATAAGTTTAGAGATACCAAGTGTTTTAACCAGAACAATTCTCCCAATTGTAGTTAGGTCTCTTGTCCTCCATACATTTAACAGTTTCTCCATTACTTTCAGGTGATGATCAAAGTTCAACTTATCGCAGTCTTCCTGGTTATATGAAAAATATGTACCTAGTGCATATATAGGCCCCCGTGGCCAGAGCACATCCAAAGGCTCATCAATCCTATGTCTGTTGGATCCCATCCACATAGCTTTTGTTTTTTTCTTGCTGACCTCCAAGCCACTACATAGTTTAAAATTTTCTAAAATGTCTAGTAAGTTTTTAGCAGAGTTTTCATCTTTAACAAGGCCAGTTAAATCATCAGCATACATGGATAGTTTTCTCTTACAGCCATAGATCGATAAACCTTCAACAGAGGAATCGGCCCTTATTCTTGAAGCTACTACTTCTATCACTAAGTTAAATTTATTTAGCTCATTTATTTAACTCAATGAAACGAATATAGCAGAGAACAGAAATACGTACCTGGTCTAACCACAGTTAAGTTCGCAGGTTTGAGGTTGACAGGCTCCAGCTTGACTTTCTTGGGTGCAGAGGGCTGCAGCTCCGCCTGGCTGGTGGGAGGGGGTGTGTTGGTTGCCATAGCGATGGTATATCACAGACAAAACACCTTTAGATTGAATCACCTGCAGGCAACAGAAGGGAGGAATAAAATAAATCATATGTTCTAGCAGGACAAGCCAAAAATGATAGGTTTAAGAGAAAAAAATTCATCAGGGATTTTAATTTCCAAATCCAAGGCACTAAAATGTTTTATTTTAATTTCTTCAGAACAAAACTTGTCTGTGTTTTCCACATAGCTATCTAGTCAATATCACTGGCTGTGTCATAAAAATATCAGTAGTATGAAAATAATATTTCAAAGCTTTGTGAACTATGAATAGAATTTAGTGAAAGTCGATTAACACATTGAAAGACTCAAGCCAAGGTTGCTAAAGAAATTCTACACTTCTTGCTTGTCATGTATGAAAACTACTGCCTTTTATATGTCTACTGCAAGAATTACATCAGTTCTGTTTTCCTCAACACTTAAGGAAATGCTTCAGAATTGATGCATTACTGAAAACAGATCTGATAGAAACCCTGGAGCGAACATTCCATTAGCATTGCTGGAGTTTGATTTCTTGTTGAGATTTCAGGCATGTTTTTCTTGTGGAGAATAGCTTAATCTAAAGGAAACAGTCTGGTTTCACACAGCATAGCCTTACACGTTAGTTACAATAAAATAAGAACCAGGCCTGAATAATAATTGTACTTTGTACTATGTATAGATCTTGAAGGTCAGAAGTTCGATGATCAAAGTAATATGGATATCTCTGGCCATCTGGCACTATAAATTATTTATGTAACAGTGCAAAAGACTGACTTCACTTGCCACTGACTCACAAATGTACAAGAAGGTCAACTTGAACAGGAACTATGTTATGTGGGCAGATACATTCCTTTAATTTTAGTACCTTCCATTCTTTTGAAGTCATTATTGTCCTAAAAAATGCAACCAAATAATTCTGGGCCTTTTATTTATGTTTTTTTTTTATAATTTTAGCATTTGAAAACTAAAAATGCTAGAGCTCATGGTACATTTTTGTATCTGCATAGTTGGAAGATAAACCTAGAAAATTAGTCTTTTGTAGGACTGTATACTGTAGATCACAAAATATTTGTGGTGGTTTATGTAAATTTTTGTGGTGACCTCCTACTGCGAAGTCATAACACCGTGTTTTGTATTCCTTCTACGATATTGAATTGTTTCAACCACAAATTTCAAACACTGTGAGAACATCCTTTTACCTTCTACTGCAAAATAAAACAAATGCATTTACAATATGCTTATGTGCTTTGCCCTTTGACTTTATAGACAATCAAATACCATCTACACATAATGTTTTTCAGGGAACCTGGCATGGAAAGAATCTATTTACTTTAAAACCTAAATAATTTCTCAGTGACTATTTTGACAACTGTCATTTCACATCTGGGCTTATAGAACTGGTAACAGAGAAATGTGAGCAAAAACTGTCTCAACTTGTATTCCGTATTCTTCACTTTGATAAAGAATAAGAGCTCAGCATTCGAACACAATTGCTAATAATTTGCATAAGGTCTTATTCTCACATTTATTATTATTATATATATTCAGTTTTTATCGTCTTGTTGGTGGAGGTCACGTGACCTTGCAAAATAAATGACACCTGAAACACAGTTGGGTTCGACTGATTCCCCAGAGAGGGCAATTATGTGGCAATTATCTCATAGAAAATGTTTTTCACCTGGTGTTTAGTAGTCATAGCATTCGTGGGCGCAAATAGAGTTAAATATTGAGAAAAGGGGTTCAAATCTTTTCTATGGATAGCTTTCAAACCTTTATTCTTTTTCTGCCACCAATAAGGTCACTCATGGGGCTTGTTTTTTCACTATTTATAAATGGTGAAAGTGCAAAATGATGATTTTTAAAAGTGGGCGTGAATGTCAATCACATGAAGATTAATGTTAATATAGAATATTTTCAGTCCTTTTAAAAACAATTTACTATGTTCCCAGCAGGAAAACGGAATACATGTACATGTTTCAACACAAATCATGCATATCATAAAGTGTGAATGAATAACAAAATTGTGGGTGTACATGATCAATTTCTCATATAATTCATATGTGACTGTTACGAGGATGAAATCACCCATGGAGTTAGTATTCCTGACCATCCTTGTTTCATAAGCTAAAGCTTCTATCTAATTTAAAGCTTCTATCCAATGCTTCTATCTAAAGCAAAATTTCAAGTTGAAAAGCCAACAAATTTTACAATCACAATGCCGTGTTCTTTAAAAAGACAGTAGCACATAAAGTTCTAGACATAATCTGTTTATCAAGCATCTATCATCTGAAATGTTAAGAATTCTCACCTGAATCTTTTTATACTGCCTTTCCCAAAACAGTCCTACAGCCTGTGCTAACTACAGTATGCAATGAAGGAACTGACGTCACAGAATGATGTCTTAATGGTGACACGCCTCTTAAAATGGTTTTCAACTTCTCTACACCTAATTTGAATTGTCACATATCACACAAATTATACTGTTTTGATAAAATTCCATATTCACTTCTTGACACTTATCTCAACATTGATGATTTTTAAAAAAATGCATTTTTGAATGTGAAATGATGCTGTTAAGTGTACCTTGGCCTTATGTGATTACTAGGTGTGTCAAAGGTTAGCCGACACAGACTGTGTTATTCCAGGGTCAAGTCTAGCCTGAGGCATCAGCGCCTCACAAATAAAAGACCAAGTCAGATGAGAATGATTAGGCAGGATTTAGAAGTAGATATATTAAGTACTTAAACACAGTTAACCAGGTGCTTCGTGACTTATATTGTAAGGCATAATGCAGCAAAGTCAAATGACTTCTCACCTAAATCAAATACATGTAGTTGTGTAAGAGTTTTTGTGTTTCAAAAGTTTGAATAATAGGTTGAAACAAACTCTGACTTTTTTTAGGTAGCCTGATACCTTTCAATGGTACATTGTAAATGAATTGGTTTATTCATAACAGATATATGATAGAAATTTTCTATGTTAGATATGTTTTATTCTTTTGCTCATGATTACAGTACAGTACATTATCACTAGCACTCTGTGTACAACAATGGCTTATAGTGTCTAAGGTTCCTTGGAAAACCTTTTTAAAAGCTTAAGCAAATTTATGGAAACTCTACATTCCCTAAAAGCCTTTTGAGTGTTTGGGAAAATACAAAATGTAAATGACACATAACTGTGACAGAAACACTTCACAAACAGGTGGAGGGTTTGTAGTTGATATTTTCAATGTGAATGCACATGTTGTATTTGAAAACTCTGGCTGCTATAACATGTGGTGCTGGTAGGTTTACTAATTACAACAACACAAGCTGGTCATGGTATGCAAGAATTAAATCTACACTAATCTAAGTTCTGTTACTTACAACTTACAATAGTTCCTTTGTGAACCATTTCCTTCCACAAATTTCATATTTATGCAGTGCTTCAGGTTTAGTTTTCTCTTAATTAGTTGGTATACAAAAGCACTGAAACAAATTAATTACATGAAAAAATGCAATGTAAGCTAGTATCAACTGTTCTTTAATGAAAGCTATAATCTAGTGCTAGATGTACACAAAAGTGTTGTTCGTAAAACAATGACACGACGGCTCTGGTATGTTGACCTTCCCTGTTTCAGTGACTGACGTCACAGTGTGTGCACAATATTGTGTGTATAATTGGCAGGGCACTGCCTAGTGAAGCATGCTACCATACTGGACAAAATGTTAGCAGTCTGAGAAGCTTAACAATTCAATCAAACATAATTTTCTTGCCCAATCCAAATCAAGCAGGTAAGGTGGATGGGTGCAAACATTCATCTCATGCATGATTTCACGGTTTGGTGCTACTAAGGGCATTGCAATGACTTACTTAATGGCCACCTATTGAAAGGCAGTATATCTCATGGGTCGATTGGCTTGGAGTGTAGATTCTAGATCCAGAATCTCTGGCTGTGTCCCGAAAGTGAAAAAATAAGCCACATCATTTTTCTAGACTTACAGTTTAACTTTTAGTGGTCTATATTTCATACATTCCCCATCAAGACATCAACAAACTTGCCTGGCAGCATTTTCATCTTATTTTCACTATGTTTATTCAAAGTAAATGGTTTGTAATAATCATTTTCAGGCAACAAAAGATTGATGACTATGGGGGAACATTGTCGTATCACATATCGTAAAATTATCACACCAGTCTCTTTAATATGTTAAACTTGTTCATGTGGTGATGTGAAACAATGATCACTTAAGATTTGTTCCACACAGCAGTACATGTATGTAGGGGTGTTATGGGAAGGTAAGTTAGGATGAAAACCCTTTATTGAACCTCTTCACTTAAATCCATCTTCCCAGGTCTCTTGACAAAGATAGATCTCCTCAGGCATTCTGTATACAATACATTTACTTCAAGAACTGATCCTAAATCATAGTGTGATACGTTAATCTACTTTTAAGAAAACCATGGAAGATAAAAATGGCACTATTAATTGTAGACACAAATACATTAGCCTGAATTACATGTAACACCACACCCAAGTCGTCACAGCGTGTTGTAAGCAGACAATTAAACAGCAAAAAAACAACAACAGTAAAACAACCTGGAACATAAGATATATCTATCGTCTTGAAAGTTGTGATATAGAAATACACAAAAACATTTGACCTTTTATTTCTTTCTTGCTTTCTTTCTTTTTCTACCATCAAAAGTAAGATTTCTATATAAAAGTGATATTGGTCTGGACTGGTTGCATTATGCCCAGGTTTTAGAGAAAATATTTGTCAGTCATTCTCTCAAAAACTGCAGAGGAACAATTTTTTAAAAAAACTATAAAATAGATAAGCAGAATGGTGGATTAAAACAGCAGCAGCAATCCTTATTATCTAGACTACATGAAACCGTACAGCATTTGGTCATTTCAATCCCTTTTTTCATTACTGGTCTGGAACCTTGAATGAACAAAACGCCCATTCACCCTTTGTCTAGCCCAATCTTTTGTGCCACAATACCACATCAGTGCTTGATGTTCTCTCAGTGCAGATAAAAAAAGTTTTCCATATGCTATATATTAGAATACCTGAAGTAAATGTACATGGACAGCCCTAAATAATACAATGTTTCGTTATGTTGAAAGTATTTGTGTATATTTCATAACTGACAAAGAGTCCTTCAAAATGTGACACACCCTAAAGCTCTAATAATAATGGCACCATGGTCACAATATGGTTCAAGAGCACAAAGCCATTGCATTGTGTGAAGTGTTTTGCACCTGTTGGTCATAATTTATAACATTCCCCTCACGATCACACCTATTTAACAATGAGTTTAAACAATAGGACACCCTTTTCTAGGTTTTGTGAACATGTAGTTACTGTAAATCACTTTATATTCGCAGTAGTATGTTAGTGGTCTGAGAAAAATGGACATGTTCGTGAAACTATGTTCGCGGTGGCGGCATGTGCAGCAAAAAGAAAGTCGGCAAATTATTTGTTCACAATAATGAAAAGTTCATGGTACACAAGTGACCGTGAAAAACGCGAATATAAAAGTACCACAAAAAATGATGATTTACCTGTCACCAGACATGGAAAGTTGATATGGACCGTGGAAAAAGACTAATAAAACATAACTTCTATAACAATGTCGTTTGCTGTAAAAAATATATCATGTACATGTACCTTTCCTCTTGCTACATTGCTGTTTTTTCCATCAAAGTTGAGAGGAAGACTTCCTGTTTACTTTTTCTCCAAGCAGCTTTCAGTTCGGGGTTATTTTGCTGCTTTTATCTTGTGGCCCTTTCTATGATTCAATGTTTCTTTATAAGTTAAGTCACAAATTCTTTCATTTTCCTTTCTTAAGAAGATTCTCTTTGACACGAATCATAGTTAAGGCTGGAAAAAAACACTGAAAAAAAACAACAACAAAATAACTTGCAACTGAAACATGAGTGGAAAATATTGTTTACTAACATAGGACCAAAAGAAGGACTTAGAGTTGGACTCAGTTTTCCTGTTAACACATGATAGAGAAGGCTACATGGAAACAAGTGTGTACTGTTTTCTCACTGGCTGTATGAAAACTGATACCAGAAACAAGGGTTAATTACCTTAGAAGTTCACCAACAATTTAACATTTCACTACAAATTTAAGGACAAATCAACCATCTGGGATTATGGAACATGCTAATGGTGGTGGATTTTCTCCTGTGTGAGCAAAAAGGGCCTTTTTCTCAGGAGTTAATAAGTACTGATCTGCTAGTAGTGTAACAAAAGTGTTTTGTGAATCTACTGGAAGGGGTATACTAGTACTCATTATATTTATAATATCATATAATCTTAGTCACAGCGTTTAGTCTGGAACATTACTGCTGTTTAAAACACTACAATTTTTTTATATGCAAATACCCTGACGTTTTGTTGTTTCCAAAACAGACTGAGAAAAACCAATGATGTTGCTTGTACTTTCCTCTTGGGTGTTGGGTGGGGTGGCAAAATAGTACTGCACTTTGTAATAAGTTCATTTGTCTTGTTCCCCTTTGAAGTTCCCATTTTTCTGAGACATGTTTACATCAAATCAATCCATGTTCGGAAAGGAAAAGATAAAATCCAACCCTTTCTAACTCTTTTCCTAGCGGAGAGAGCAAATTAACTATCTAACAACGAAGTTTAAAACAAATTTTCAAAAGAAAAAAGTGTTAGACCTGCCCATTGCCCATCAACAATATCATACATTCCATTTCCGATGACCTTTCTCGCAGATAAAAAGCCCTTGAAATGTCAATCACCCACTGCACTTGTGTCTGTTGTGTGCATTATAAATTTGGTGTCACACTGCTGCTCGAAGCAACTTGATTCGACTCAAAATTTTTCATAATACTTTTTCAAAACTTAAGTCATTTCAAATTGAGGCCTAGGCCAGAAATAAGAAAGAGATGTGCACCATATGAACAGGCCCACCCCCACCTATGTTCATCAGGTGAATGGTTTCTCCCTGAAGACCCTTCACCTTTATGCAAATGACTGGCCCAAATTATGTCCTAACCAGCCTCTGGGGGTCTCTGACTACACAAACTACTTTTTGCAGGTTGACTTGTTTCAAGAATATCTGAATAGAAAAATGTTCATTTCTTTAGAAACCCCATAGAATTCCAAATTTGCTTCATTGTTTTTCCCTTATAAACACTTTAATAACCCACAGAAAAAGAAAACCTTGTGTAAACATAAGTGATGTTAGTATTGTCTAGGGACCAAAATGTGGTGACCAAAGTTGACCTGATCTACCCTCCATTCATTCTTTCTTCTTCTACCTTTACGAATCAGGACATGCAGTATGGCTAAAAACACAATCCAACTTCACTTATTCGTTTCTTCTTCATTTTCCACCATGTCTTGACGGAATGGGGATGTTTAGAAGCTGTTTTTTCGCGCTGCAAAAACGTGGCATCGAGGTGAAACACAATCTGCACCCCCAAAAATGGCGACACGAACACTGCGGGCAAAAACAGCACTGCGTGGCGCAAAACTTCCGGTAAAACTCGAGAATTCCAACGGTCAAACCGGCCCAAACCACAAAAATCGCACTCCTATGAGTATTCGCAAGCATTTGGTCACATATTTAGATGTCTGATTGGGGTAAAACGAACGTAGATCGCGACTTTCTTGCTTACGAAGTGTCCTCGTGCAAGTTTGGGGGATGGGCATTCAAACCTCCATTTCCTCTCAACACGGAAAACACACCAGCGATCGGAGAAAGCGAGAAAAACATAAATTAGCGGACAAACAGACAGATTACAACACCTTAGACTCTTAGCCCAACAACTTTTCCATATGTTGAAAGCAAATTTTGAAGGTCAAGTGTTACTTAATGTAAGAAAATTGCACTTTGTTCCATGCACGTCACTCAAAAGTCGAAGCGAAAGAAAATGTTCGTCAACGCTGGAGAAACAACATTACCATCGGTAAAAGGTCTAAATTTTCGACTATTTTTCGGGTAAAGCTGTCTGACAACTGAATAAAAGTAAAGAACAAATACTTGTCTTTCGTTCTATATGCTTTCTGAATGGGCAAATTTTAGTTCCTGCTCCGGAAATAAGGAAAAAGTAAGATTTTCTCACCAGTTTTTCCCAAGCGCCATTAGAGCCACATTCGGATGAAGGCCCGTAGAACGCATGCTCAAAGGGCTCTTCCATCAACATTTCTCCCTCCCGCATGGAATTTGATACGATGCTCTGGCGTCAGTCCTTGGCACAAATACCAACATCAAATGAAACATAAATGTATTGATCTTTTCCATACTTCTCCAATGTACGGAAAATAAAGTATCGATGCAAAAACTCAACTATAGTTTCCAAGACGGAAATCTTTGAAGAGACCAACGATTATAATCATAGAATCGTTAAAATATTGGATGAAAAAAAATCCTGAAAAGGCTCGCGGCATCGTTTGAAATGTTATTCATCATTTAATTTATATATTCGGCTCCTTCCTTTAAATCTTAACATCGTAAGCACAATATGCGCCTTCGTGTATGTTTGTCGGTTTTCAGGCTAATCAAAATTTGCAACAGCACTAGCGCTATGGAAGTGTGATATGTTACGGTAGTAAATACAAGACGCCGTATATAAAATCGCCCCGCTATTTATTGTGCACGGTTCAAATTATGATTCTCTTTGATGGTAAAACAAGCAGCACAGTATAGTTTACGTTGTGGATATGCGGCACAGAATAGGTAGTAGCGACGAACACAGCACAACACAACTCAACCTAATCTTTGCCATCAAAGTTAGCAAACAATGAGACGGCTGGGGAAAATGCGGCAAGTCAGGAAGCATCCGGGTCAGTCCGGTTTGATTTGTGGGGCTTCCTTCTTGTCCGGCTGGATTGAAGTAGGATTCAGTCACTGTTGCTGCAGTGCGTTTTCATACATAGTTTAACCTAGATAGTTTAACCTCCTTATATCTACTACGGGGACAGACGTTTCTTCTGGTTGCTGACTGCCTGTAGCCACTATACTACAAACATGGTGCATACTGTGGTAACAACATGATATCCAGAAGCATACAATACAGTACGCAGGCATTAAGCAGATTATCATTACTTCTATAGAAAATGCGCCCACAGTTGTATAGAACACCGTGGCGCTACATCTTTGTCCTTTTGTCATTCTTCACTGCTTGTCAATCAATAAGCCAATCGGCCAATCGACGTATCTCAAATAAAAAAATCTCCCTCGTCTCTCTCTCTCTCTCTTTCAGGCTGTCTCTCTCTTTCTTTCTTTCTTTCTCTGTCTCTCTCTGTGTTTCTCTCTCTCTTACACACACACAGACACACTAACACACACACACACACACTGATTGACGCTCTGCTGTTACACCTCTGTGTCTGAATCGCCATTTTGAAAGTTATATTCCGAAATCACGAATGTCTTTCCATCAAATGTGCCGTCTAAACATGTATACCCTACCCTACATCTGTATGTCTAATGACGGCAAATGTCATTGCGTTAAAAATAGACCAATGCAATGCAATTCGATAAAGCATATCATATCAGTACGGAAAAGATTTATGGAGCTTTTACTTGAGATTCGGCACACATCTCAGGGCCGATGGCCGATATCTTTGGACTTAATTGGTGGGCGACAAACGGCTTTTCGAGGGCGCCATGCTTGCACAACGTGTTGTAGATAGGACTGTCATTTCAGATAATCGATGGCAAGAAAGCGATGGTTACATGTATCTTTATGTCATACCGATTTTTCTTCCAATATGTGCGATTTCATTTTTCGTTTAGTATCTTTAGAAGCTTTTTATGAAACAAAATTGAAAGAAAAGATCATGCAGAAAGCATGTCTATTCATGATTATAATCGCATTGTTCAATTCATATATTATCCAGATCAGATTTAAACTTTAGCAATTATACACAGATGTTCGGGTTCTGTGTTGATTCTAATTTACGAAAAGTATTGTCAGTTAAGATACAGGAGGTGAAGAGATTGTAAAATATGCGACAAATGGCTTTTGGGGTAAAAGAAATAGTCGTTTGCAGAGCCCTGCCACTGGCAACAACATTATGCAGAAACGTCATTCGAAGATTGGTGTGCTCTAGCCTGGGTGCCATCCGAATTTGTAACGGCTCCCCCGAAAAATTTTCGGGGGAGCCGTTACAAATTCGGATGGCACCCAGGCTAGGTGTGCTCATACTATGTAACGATGCTTATAGTTATACGTATATATAGACGGTGTATGAACCACACTTAACAATCTAATATCATGATGTTGCCATCTAGGGAAATCTGAACAAAAGCAGAAATACACGCTGTGGCCGAATATCTAGAGCGTTTTTGTTTGTTTTCGTGCATATGATGAAGATAGGTATACCGACTGTAGAGAAACACAGTTTACAGACGTCTAGTCAAAGTTATTTCAAGATCGGTATCTAAACTGTGTATTGATTGACCCATGCACAGGATCTTTCATGGTCCCTTGTTTTTGTCGACAGATTACCCAGTGTGGTGATGCATCGAACCATGGATATTATGGTATAAATATGTCCTCAATCGAACTTTAATCGTTTGAATCAAAATCCCGTTCATCGTGTTCAAATGTTATCACCACTTCAGATCGCGTCTCCACGAGAAAACAACATAGGCAAACAAACTGGTTGGTGGGCACCGTTCCTTCCCACAGGCAAGGCACGTTAAAGAAATTAAAAAGCACGTGCACCCTATCCTTGTTTGTAGAAGATTCCATGCCTCATTACGCCTAGCCCGCTCCCGTGCAGCTCGCCATGGTTCAGTCAGGAGGCTCTCCCCACATGTGTTACATGTTAGTCCTGGATTCCTGGCGAGATGGTCAAATTAAGGATTCGTCACGAAGTGAGCGATCATATGTGATTTATGTCGACTGCATCGTCTCCCAGCACACAATTTTCAACATTTTGTTAACGGTTCCTTTAGCTGATACAAGGACGTTATATTAGGAGCTTCTTGGTTGATATGTTACGCCTTTCCTCACTGGCATCATTAATGTCGGAATCGTGAACTCTAGTTGTTGTTCCATATTTAGAGCGATTATAAGAAAGTAAGGTGTAAATAAAATAGGAAGTGTAAAAAAAAATCACCTGTTATCGCCCATTATCTGACAACATTTTACTCCTGCATGAGAAGTCACTTTAGTTGTTTTTGCCACTTGACTTGTGGCATGGTAAATTGGATCCGATATGCCCTGTCTGCCTTGCCAGTCAAGATCCCACACAACTGGTCCGATACTAGAGCAGATGTCAACATCAGTAAAGAGAAACTGTGCCACAAGCTGGTAAAGTCATCAGCAATGCCGTTTGCACCGCAGTTCATGGCCATGTTCGCCGAAGCATGTCAGCAAGGAGCACCCCTCGCAGATATGTCTGGAACTGCAACTTCAACAGAGCACTCAGCTTTGCCGTCGGTGCGGAGGGAGGGCACTCAATAAACCAACTGCGTCATTGCATTTTTCCACTGAGAAAACCACTGTTAGCTTTCGACCGGGAAGGCATTCTATACAAGAGAATGAAATGAAAAACAACGCTTTGCGTCAACAATCCCGTCAACTCAATTTAGAAAACGATTACTATTCCATTCCTGAGAAATACAAGTAAGGTTAAACATATTGTACTTCCATTGTTTCGTTCATGTGTGCACTTTTGGGTCATTTCCAAATATTGCTAAAAGACTAAAAGCTCTTTTTCGCGTATGGTTGATTAAATTCATCAAATTGCGTGTCATGTCTAATCCCAAAGATGAAAGAAACTCATGAAAAATCCATGAAGATAAATTCTGTCCCAGGAGGCGCTGCGTCGTCCCATGACGTCATGGTATGCTAATTACCCAGAGTGCAGTGTTTATATTTTGATTCAGTCCGGCAGACTTGCGAGCACATATCCCCGTGGTAAGGTAAGCATTTTCAGCTCGATTTCTCGCTAAATTGGCCCAAAACTTTGCAGATGGCAGTCACGTTACTAACGGCATTTTTTTCAGACAAGCAGGCGTGCTGTTACGTGGTGGTTTGTGGAATATTTCCGTAAATTTGCGTGTGATGTTTTGACGGGTCGAGTTCCGTGCAAGATGTTTCTGTATCTGGTCAGCTGGTCTTGTGTTTACACCCTCAGTAGAAAATGGCGGCGGTAGAATCGGGGAAAAGCACAAATGGTTGGTTGTTTATGAGCCATCTGGAAGTCTGTCCCATGAACGGTTGCGCCCTCTTCTGGAACAAGGTTGACGTTTGTAGATTTATCCTGTCCTTTTAGTTGAACGAGGTCAGTCAGGTACATAAACAGCCCCCCTCCCCCTTCCCCATAGCCCGGCTCTTGCGTCATACCTTTTTTTCGTACGGTTCCGCGCTCCTCTTGCAAGGGAAAACAAGAGAGTAGTTCTCACCATTTTAAACCAGAGCCAAGAAATTCTCCTGAACATTTTACAAACCAACCTGGACAAAGAAAGTCCATGAATACCACACTTACGTGAGAAGTGTGAATTTTCACAAGGGACTGTCCACTAATCTCAGGTTAGCAGTGCAGACTGTTGCTGCCCCCTCCTTCTCTATCTATTTTTCTAACATTGGGCTGTTCCAAAAAATAACTGTGGAGGGGGGGTGGAAGAGGTCTAAAATCAGCTTTTGGCCCAACCCCCTGTCCAGTCCAGAATTTTTTTACCCACCCCCCTGTCCAGTCCAATTTCATTATTTCGACCCATCCCCCCTGTCCGTTCCAGATTTGTTTGACCCAACCCCCCTGTCCGTTCCAGGTTTCGTTTTACCCAACCCCCCCTGTCCGTTCCAGGTTTGTTTGACCCAACCCCCTGTCCGTTCCAGATTTGTTTGACCCAGCCCCCCTGTCCATTCCAGATTTGTCCTAATAATAGTAATATACTAGTACCTGCCTTTTTCATTTTAGGCAACTACGTTTTTGTGTTTTTGAGCGTTAGTGCATGAGTTGACTATTGAAATCAACTTTAGCTTGTTTGGAGTTTAATATCTTCAGCATTCAACATAATGAGGCAACTGAACTAAGCTTCCACCATGGATTTGAGCATCCTATGATTGTATGAAGAAAAGCACAAAAAAACTGCACTGTGCATTTTCCCTGTGAGGCCCTGTGAGGAAAATGCGGGAAATGCACAGTGCAATTTTTTAGGACTGAGCAAAACATTACAGGATGGCCATGATTTTCCAGAGATTACTAGTACTTTGGGACATTTCAAGTTGAAACATCTCTCACTCTTCTTCAGTGGCACTAAATCACACTTGAAGGAACTAGAAAAAACAGTTAAACAAAGAGTGAAAGACACATAAGTGTCACTGTTATTGTTATGTAAATGAGGATAAGGTAGATTATGGTAATACTAATACAACACCATAGGAACTGCATGTACTGGAGAGTTCTATGGGAAATCCTCCCTTCCAGTTAGTGGGGTTGTAGCTGCGCCTATAGTATAGATTAGGCCTCCTAGAAATGTCTTGAAGTAATCTCCGTGATAATTTATCCAGTAGTAGAGTTTGATTTGTCTTTTAATATTGTTCACCTGGATGTCTTACCTTCATCAGGGTTATAAAAAGATAAGCTTGACAAAATAATAAGCTTGCGTGCCAGGCAACCTGACGTCTCCATGGCCATCAGTCTCAGAAAACATGACTTGTCTGGCAAAAGTGTGAGAGTGGGTATTTTCACCCTGCCTGAGTTCTGTCACGGATGAAAAAAATATGACTTGGTAGAAATTCATGACATTATCTTGTTGTATGACAATCTATATACAGTTTTATACCATTGTCTTTTTATGAAAGAAGGGAGTGTGTGATGTTTCTATGATGCTCTGAGTGCATGAAGAAATTCAACAGAGTTAAGAATCTAGCTGGTTTGGTGGGGAAAACAATGGGAACCTGTAGGGAGTTTGTTCAAGCAGTGCCGATTCAGTGTGTTGTGTTAAAACTGAGTATTCCAGGTCCTTTTGGCATTCAGGGTTTTGACTTGAGGAAATCAAAGGAGGTTTTGTTTTAAACTAAGGAGCTGGTTAACTTGAAAAATCTATTTCTAACCTCCTTGTTTTGCTTCAACTGCATCAGAGTATTGGTTTTGAAAATAATTCCAACTAGCCTTAGGCCACACCTTCAGTCCTTCAGTGCTGTAAAGAACATGTTTACTGTACTCTTAAAATTAAATCATGACTTATAATTCTTTTCGGCAAATCAAATGACTTCGTGTAAACCTGACTGTCCTAAACTTTTACCCTAGAATTTTATTTTGGACTGAAGACAGTGAAGTGACTTTGGCCTGAGATAATTTAGCATAATCTGATAACACAACAATGTCTGAGCAAACAATAGGAACTCATTAGGACATGGAGCCAGTAATTAGCATTTCAATGAGTTACTGCAGCTGGTTGTGTGAAAACTGAAATCCTGGTACACCAAAAGTCTAGTACAAGTCGACTAGAACCCTTGGATATGAAAAGAACCTAAAAATACGGAAAAGTACTAAGAAAATCAAAGTTTTTTTAACAAATGCAAAATAATTATCCAATGAAGCAGTTCAATTTTAGATGGTCTGTAAACTAAAAGATTAAAATGATGATAGACCAAAATAATTAGTCTCTACCACTAGTACCAAACTATTTACGAGAATATTTGCCAGGTTAGTTTGGCCACCTTTGGGTTTGACTTCTAAGGGTTACTGGATTGTATCCAGAAAGAAACAACCTTCTGCAGACTGACTCCCCAGGCCATTATCCTTTGTACCAAAATATATATATGCCACAATTCGTATTCCCACAGAAAAGCCTGGTGGAGGCTACTAAATAACAACAAAGCAACAACAAATGTGTCTTATCTGAGAAATTTTAGTCAAGTATATTTGGCATACATGAACTATATGCATTCACTCACTCAGACTCTGGCCAGTCTTTCCTTGCATACAAGGTACTGATGAGTATCTTGAGCATCTATTATCAATAAAAAATTAAGCCAGACTGAAAGGTGAGAATTATCCATGGGGAGACTGTTCCTTTCTGCTGTACACAACATGACAATGCAAGGAACTTTGTTAAATCATGGACATATATGATATACAGTATGCCCAAACTTTTCAGTTTGCAAGAAATTTGTTGTACAATTTACAGTTTCATTTCATTTGTCCAGGGCTCAAAATTCATTATTGGGAATAGATGCACCGATACAAACAATTGGGTGTATAAAAGATGTTGGGTGCACTTATATAAAACAGGATTACTGGCGTTAATTAAAAAAGCCTCACACAAAAAGCCTTGCTTCTTGGCAGTTTCTTCTGACTTTGAAGAATCACTATCGGTTTCTTCTTCAACATCGGGCTACTAGAATATTTGGCTGCACTCAGAAAAAGATTGGGTGTACAGCTCCAATTTTTGGTGCACCCTGAGAATTTCGAGACCTGATTTGTAGTTTTCGTCAAAGCGGGC